ATAAAAAGATTACGAGTTGTGGGCATTAGAGAGCCCCACACTAAATAAAAGTCACCAGCTTGTCCTAGGGGGAATGTATTTGCAAGCATTTTGTACATAAGATACATAAAGCAACTTTCCCACTATCCAGATCTGATAAAGCCTTATCTGAAGGGCTATATTTAGGATACATATTTCCAAAAATAAAACCAAATGATGTAGACAAATTGGGAAAGACTAGTGCAGAGCATCAAAAATGATCATAAATTTCTAAACATTCTACAAAAAATGTTGAAAGAATTCATGTTGCTTAATTGAGAAAATAGCATACAAATATGGAAAAGGCTGGAAATAGAAGGTGTCTATAAGTTTTATTTTCCATATTCATTTAGAATTGGATGAGCTGTAACAGGCTTATCCTATAGTAAAAAAAAAAGAACAGAAGAAAGAAAAGAAAAATCTAGATTAGGTATTGGAAAGTCTTCACAATTAAAAGAGGTAGACAGCAGAATGTATTCCCATAACCTTTTCTAAGCATCTCCATCACTAAAGTTTTTCAAAAATAGGTTAGAAAGATATTTATGTTCATCAGTCTTGCTCCAGAGGAGGGATGGGAGCAGAAGACTTGAAACTCAACTTGACCTAAGCTTTCTTATGATAAAGAGTTAAGTCTTCTAAATGTATTTAATAGTTTTATGTCATACAAAGCCATACATACATCAACTGCAGCTGGACAAAGTGCATATGGAAACAAACTGATTATACCCATTTTTATTTGTTCYGCTCACTATGGAGTTATCATGCTGAAATGGAGTGTGAGACATGAATGCTCATTGTGGGAAAGCGAGAAATGATTTAATCCAATTTTTCCACCTGTAATGGAAATGTATTTCTACATCCTTTTTGCTTTCTGGTAATAAACACTACTCTTCTGGAAATTTCAAATTGCTTTTACAAATGCTCTTAACCCTCTGAAGYACTTTTTTGTGATTTGAGAACACTTATATACAGCACTGGAGAGACAGAAGCCCAGAAAGGTGTAGTTTGGGCAGTTTAAAACTTGTTGGCTTTAAGGAGGGCTTACTCCAATCCTTTCAAGGTCCAGTTTTCTGCCATTCTCTGTCAAAATCAGTGTTACTTGCCAACTCGCTGAAATGCCTCCATATTCTACTCAACACTTCTTGAACAAGGAAACCCATTCGCTAAGGTAGAAATAAGTGTCTACTGCCCCTTGCTGAAGATCGCTACCAAAAAATCTGTAAAAGCCAACAAGAGTTGATATATAGCAGATAAAGGATAGCTGGTACTTATATACTACATACACAAGTATATTCCTTTGGCCTGACTTCCTATGAGAGCTCTTCTTGGGATAGAAGAAGACTTTGTGTGTGTTTGTGCAGCACGCTGGGTCAAGGAGGCATTGATCCTGGTAAGGCTGCCTCATCAATAGTATAAATTGAGAACTCACTATCATAATAAATCACACAYATATGTCTGCATGCTACAGTCATACACTCTGAAAGCCTGGGTTTGCATAAGGTTTGCAACCTTTACTTGGTGATTGCTAGGCCTTGCATTTAGGTATTTTCAAAAATGATTGATTACTCCATATTCTGTTGTTGTTAGAAATACTTCTGTAGTTTTTGTTTGACTGTTTGGCATGTCTGCTTTATGTTAATGATGAATACTGGTGTCATTCAGATGGACCATTCTCTGTTGGATACTTCTACTGGTTCCTACAATTTTCATTAGGAAAATTCTCAGAATTAAATGTTTCAGTAAATCTACTGGTTTATAGACACTTGACTAGGCATAGRTATAAATTCCCTTAAATAAATCTAATTAAAGTTATAAATGGAAAATGAAATATTTGTCTGGTATTAGGTGGATTCACTTTCTATAAAAATTTAACACTAATATCTCGTAATGACTTTTACCATAACATTTTATGGTATTATGATAATAGGCAAAACRAATTTACAGCAAAAAGTATTTATACAACATGGAGAAAAAAGCCCCCAAACTTCCTTATAATGAGAATAACCTTAGCCAAGGATATTTCTCTCAGAATTAATAACTTGCTGGGGTTAATGGCCATTGGCTTCACCTTAGGCCCTCAATTAATCCCTGAACCTCAATTGTTATTACCTAATTGACTTAGTTTCATTTCACTTTAACATTTCAAAGTGATCTCCCTAGAATCACACTGACAGAGTAACACGGTCTCTGTAGATGTGCACTGACATGGCTTCAATATTGTTACTTTGCCTCCATACACTTGCATCGACATTTCATTTTGTTTTGACATCGCCATGCCACATCTATGGACCTGTGCCGACGACAGCAGGTTGCTCAGATGAGGAGAAATCCTCTCCAAGAGGGAGGAGAAACTAAAATTTTATAGATGGCCATGAGCTCAGTTAAAAGCTACTAAGCAGAATTATTATCATTGTAAATGTGATTTGTATGTTTGCAAAGGGCAGAAAATCAGATAAATTATTTCACTCTACATCTTTCTGGTTTTCTAAAAATGTCTTTTCACACAAATCAGCTAAAAAATATAGCCTGCAAAGCACACTAGCTAATTTATATTTTAGAAAGTTATTTGATATTACCATTTCACATTTATTTTAGGCTGCAAATAAGTTATGCAAATCTTGTGCATTCCACTAATACAGTGTCAACACAGCTAGCTGCAAGATGCAGTTCTAAATCAAGAAAGAAATGCCTATAAAAACTGAAATAGGGCATCGGAATGAAGCCTTTTTATTATATGGAAAAGTTTTCAAAAAGTCTTTTGAAGCTCTTTGATCCAGCTTTGAAATAATTTTAGTAGATTACTATTGTACTAAAACCATAATTTATAGTAGCTGACCTAAGCTGCTCTTTGTGTAACAGTCATATATGAAACAATAGCAGGAAAGTAAAAAACACAAGGGGAACTAAAGYTGCTCTGTTTATTATTTAGCTCATAATTACATCTTCCTTATTTAATCTTTTGAATCCTGGCATGTTCTTAATAATACAGGTTCAAATAATATTTACTATACACAGGAGAGTTAGTTTTGAGTAACGCATTTAGACTATCCAAACTTTGTGTAACTTGTGACCTTTCCCTAACCCAAGCGAGGTCTATTTTATACAGATCGTACCAGATAGACAGTTTCTCTATACATGGTGAGGCTGCTGCCCAGCTCCATTGTTAGCTGCTTCATTTGTCAGCGGGCGCACGTTAGGCTCCTATCACCCAACGGCAAAGAGCAAGAAGCCCTTGAGGCTTCTTCTTTTGTCAGCTCCGTAAATTGGAGATTTCTGAACAACCCATAAATGGCCCTCCATGATTTGGAATAATATGACTGGAGTAATTTTTTAATTCATCTAGGCAGCCTGCTATTTTACTTCACAATATTATTACTTGATCAGCATCCATTTATAATCATATCATATCATATTTATAATCTCTTCCTCAAAATAACAAGAGGACGGTGCTAACAACTATCATTCCCCCCCRCAACATTTACTACCTAACTGCAGAAGATCTCTTTAGAAGGCTGTAAAATAGTCTGAATATTTCATCAGAAATAAAAGGCAGAGCCAAGTTCAATTGTGTGCGTATTCTGCTGGTGCTTGAGGGGCCATAGTCAAGTCTGGTAAATAAGAGCAACTCATAGGGTGCTGGGGCTTTGGCCAGAGCGACTGTGGTCACTSTTTGGGCTAGGGGAGAACTTGCAGGATTTGTAAGGGGAAAGACTACTGCAACAGGAGGATTCCCAACGCTGGCCATGCCTGTTTGCCAGTAGCCCAGTTGCACTGCCAGTATATCCCTCTGTGYCTCCATAGGCACCGCTGGAGAGCCGCCCGATTCATGGGAATGACGGTGCCATGTTAGGTCTCTGCTCCATCAACATTCCCAGGCTGAGGAAATGACCTAAATTTCAAGCCAACAGAACGGGGAGCAGCACTGCGGCGCTCCCGCCTTACAGCAAAGTGCTATGTATGGAAATGGGAGGGCAGCCTGCCTGGCACCCAAAGGTGCTATTTAAATTACAGTAAGAACAAGACTGTTCAATCTGGTGGGTGGGTTTGAATGCATTTAAAACTCAAACAGCATTTCTCGGGTGCAGAACTGGAGACGCTGTAGAAGCAAAGGCAAGTAGAAAGTGAAGGGCAGTTTCTCAAAGGGGAATCAAGGGCAGAGGGGAGGATAGTGGATCAGTAAGTGAGAACTGGCTGGCTAAATCGGACAATTAAAAGGGGAGAATATAAAGGCATGTGGAAAGAGCCATGAACAATCTTCTGGAGTTAACTAGATGGTATATTTATTTTATAATCATAGTGAGATGGAGAAATCACAGAGCAAACACCAGGAAAAAGAAGTCCCTTTTTTGAACGAGTGAATGCAAGCAACAAAGTAGGATAAAAGCTATTCATGAATTATCAATACTACTACCATGCTAAAATAATAATGAGGTATCAATAAGCACAGTAAAACCTTTAGTTCTTACTCTCCATTTTTATATAACAAGTTTTATTTAGCTCTCACTTGGCTTTGGAAGAATATTATTAAACTCTTGCTGATGTTCAGAACACAGAAAAGGTTAAAAATGTGTTCTCTGTAACTTGGACTGCCGTGTCCTGGAGTGCAACCCGTAACGACTGGGCTATTCCTCCCATACGAGGAAGTTTTACTTCCACATTCAGCACAATTACATCAATTCCTAAAGCTCAGAACAGGCCTTATTACAGTGCTTGCAAGAGCAGATGCTTGGCAAGTCTATATATGCCAGCGAGAACATCATTCAGTTTTATGCACACTTCTGTTTTCTGGCTTGGCATAATTCATTAGCACACTCTACAGAATACTCCATAAAACTGGATTTGGCTGTAATGTTAAGGTTCTAATGACTGCAGCATTGTTGCAAAGAAAAAAAAAAAAAGGAATACTTTTTATATTTTCAAGTTGATATTTACATTTGATAAACATAAAAAATACACAAATGAGCTTTTGCGAGATACAGGCAGGAATAACAATGTATCTTTATTTTTTTAATGTTATCTTTTCAGCATCTAAAGTAGTGACATAGTATAGCAATTCTTGTGATGGCTAGCAGATCTCACATAACTATAATTAGTACAATATGTACATCCTTATGGCTTATTTTATCCTCATTCTAAGATAAAGATTCTTAAAAGGTGCCATATGTAAAGGTGAGGTCAAAGCTTTGATTAAAGATCCCAGTATTGCTTTCCAACCTGTTAGGTCACAGCATCAGGTAGAGGCATAAGCAAACACAAGTATAACCTGATTTATCTGATGTGTCCCCAACATAAATTTGTTTAATGTAAAAACAAATAAAGCAAAGCTTTGATGGAGGTTGAGCAGAATTTTCAACATCTGTGCAGATAAATTTAATTTATTCCAAAAGAAAAAGCAGCATTAGTGCATCATGTAAAAGCTGATTTAAATGTTTTCATACAAGAGAAAGCATATGCACTAGCTAAAACAAATTCAGTTTTGCTCTTAAAACCTATTTCCCTTAGACAACCATTACTTCTGAGTTTTCTACCGTAATAATGTTCAGTTATTATGCCTTTTTTATTCTCTTTTTGGTTTTACACATGCCACTAGCCTAAATCAGAGTAATATGTCCCAGGGGCAGCAACACCCTAAACRCAGCTTCTGTGTAGCACCAGGCAGGTACACTGCAGATTGCTTCTGCATATCGTTACATGCACATCCATAAAGGTAAAATAAGCTAAGCACAATAGCTTAAAGAGCTGAACATAAATGAATTACAGGTATCTGAATTAAGAAAAAAAAATATTTCCACTATAACATATTCACAACTAGGAAAATAATCTCTACACACCAGTACCTTGCCATAGCAGAGCTACACTGGCTTATCTTTGCAGCCAAGGGTAGAGCACTATGAAGAAAAAAGACATTTTTTTCTACAAATAAAAGGTTAGTCAAAATGATAACCCCCTGTCTATATCTGAAAACTAGAGATGAACACAAAAACAAACAAACAAAAAACCAGAATGGGATTAATATCCTTTCTTTTAACTTTAGGTAGGACTGTGCATAGTCTGTAAGTGATTTTAAAATCATACAGACACACTGCCTGATCTAAGTTTCCTGAAAAGCAAACAAACAAACAAAAACACACATGAATGCAGATCTTCGTGTTTTAAAGACCACTTCCTCATGGGAGAGGCCCTCGTGCTGCAAGGAGCCGGGTATCGCCCCTTTAATTCCCCGGCAGGGTTTCTCCCGTGTCCAGCTCCTGTGACAAACTAGAGACAGTGAGCACACACACAGCACCCGCGCGGACTTTCCAGAATATTTTGTTCTTCCTCGAACGACAATTTGCAAAGAAAAGAACCTTAAAGAGTCTTGGGGCCAATGAGCTGTTTTCACTGACTCGCTTCTAGCGGAGAGAGCAGAACGGCTGAGAAGGAGCCAAATCCTTCCCGTAGGAGCGGCGAGGAATGCGGAAAGAGAATCTGAGATGGAACCTCTGCAGATTTCAAGCACGGCCGACCCTCCCCTCCGTGCACCTCCAATCTTGGTGGTCCAAACAAGGGAAATAAAATACTCTCATATGAATATATGAGTGCTCAGAAGACTAATGCCTATGTGGAGGCTTTATCCATCCCACAGAAGCAATCCAGCATGAAGCACTGTTTTATCTTTCCTACTGCCCTTCTTGAACACGCAGATGATTATCTTCTTCAGAATGAAGTCAGGCACAAAGCTCCTGCACGTTGTTCTTCTGGACTTTGGCATGCTAGAAATTTGCATGTTATAATGCCTATATAGGTCAAGACAGATTGTTTGCTCAAAGTCAGTTAAAAGGAAAACCCTTAAGTAGGGATTCCTCAGATAAATAAAAAGACAAGAATCCAAATCATTTGGAGTCATTAGATTTTTTTATACGCAAATGAATACATATTACAAGGCTCAGAAAATCCAATGCATAGAATAAATCCTTGCTTTTTCCTTCCCCCCGCCAAAAAAAAAAAAAAAAAACCAGAAAAACAACACGTAACTTGAATTAATTGTTAATCTGGGAGTCTGTTGGTTTTTTAGCAATGAGATAAAGTGAGGCAACACATATGCTTACTGTAACAGCCAGAAATGATATGACCCCGTCATACCACTTGGGCTTTATGAGCTATGCACTATGTTGTTTTAAGACCCAGAATATCAGCCTAAATCAATTTTCCACATCACTGTAGGTGTTTCAGCCACATCACTAACATTTAATACACTTGTGAGCGAAACCACAAGAAATAAAAACTTTGGAGAAGGACAGCAAGTTGCACCTTCCAGCCTCTGCATTTGTCTTTTGTTTAGAGCACAAGCAGAAGCCATCCGGAAGGAAGGAAGATTATGAATATCTATAAACTAACTGTTTGACAGAGAGAGAAATGCTGATAATGAGCGGGTTGTGTCTGTCTTTTTTTGGCTGATCACAACAGAGGTCTGAGGCAAAACAGAAACTCCTGATATGTTTGTCTAAGGAGGCAGTAGCGCGAGCCCAGGCAGCAGGAGTTCAGCTGAAGTTCAGGGCAGATGCTGCTATTAGTTTACACTGCAGGAAAGTAAAATTGCTTCCGGATTTACCTCTTCCTCCCTGCTCAGTGCTGAGCCATGCTGTGTCGCAGAGTCACAATGTCCGTCGGGAAGCAGTCCTTGAGCAGGATGCCGCGCTCCCGGTGGCAGTCCAGCTCCTCAATAAACCCGTACCAGTAGATGACTAGTCCCGGGCCAAATCTGCCAGGCAAAAAGAAGAACGACCTTATGTGACCATGTCGACCAAGCACAGGTAAGGCTCCTGGAGAAAGCTGCCTTGATCTGCAAACCTAAATCAGTGTGAACTGTTACACTGCATTAATGCCTGATTCCACGAATAAAAATGTACAAAGATGCAAACAATCTCTACAAGAGTTTATTTTTTTCCCTTGAGTGCACCTATAGATTAACAGCCAAATATGAAGTAACTTTCAATAACTTTGATACATACAGAAGTTTCTCTGTATGTGTCTGTATGTAAAAGGAGTGGAGAATACTCCTTTTTCTTTTTTTTTTTTTATTTTTCAAATTTGGACATTTACGCTTCAAAAATACATGGGTTTATGCAATCCCAGTTTGTGTGCATTGTAGTACTGTGCACATCAACAGTGAATCCTTAACATATAATGTCTACAATGCATTATTATGCAAGTAATTTGTAGGGTAGCGGTCCCTAGCTCATAAAGCAACAGCAAGTTTCTATGGCAAGGTCTCTGCAACGTGCCTCAGGAATTCCTCAGATATTGCTAACACTGCCTGATCCCCACCAGGCAATCTCAGGAAGTAGCCCCATGGACTATTTTACCCATCAGGAAGTTCAGACCTTCAGGCTGGGTTCATAAAGAAGTAATCACTATCAATCACTGTGTACTGCGATATGTTTTGCACATCAGTTCCACGTTTTTCCTACTGAGAGCACTTAATTAAAGGGCAGCACTACTTTTGGTGTAGTGTTGCAGGAATTTTACAGTGAAATCATAAATTATGAATGTTGGGTTAGTAAAAGGATGTCTAAAAACAGAACTGCTTTCTGTAGTCTAACATTACAGCAGTCTGTACAACATTAGGCCAAAAAGCTTTTTCTTTCCGTGATTTATTATATGCTGTAGTGAACTTGCCAAAAACAACAGTGCAGGATGAGCTGTTAGATACCGTATGTACAAGAAAAAGTTCAATGGGATGTCATGTAATGGTTTATGCACAGGGCTGTGCTTAGCGCGCTACCAATATGGTAACCAATTTTTGTTAATGTTTAATTATAATAAAAGCGCGTCGGGGGGATGCACAGGAACTTAACTGTCCACTTAGCAGGCAGCACAGGCTCGCCGAGCTGTGGGCAGTGCCAGACTGGCTTCATTAGGGTGGTTTCTGTCCAGCAATGGAGGAGAACTCTATTTGATGTGCTCATGTAATGGAACAGGCATCAAAGGAAGGAGCAACCCCCGTGGCTTCCTCCCGCAGTTTCAATTAGACACGGCGCTCTGTGGCCCCGAACCGCCGCTCGGTGCTGCAACATTTCGCTTTAGGGCCCCTGCCCTCCAGCCCCCTCTTGACTGAAGCCAAGGGCCTGTGCTCACTGCGGCCTCCGTCCTCTGCCACCTCTGCAGGGCCACGCAGGGACTCGTCACTCGGGTCGCTGCCTGGCCCCACTTCTAGTTTTTACTGGACTCTGCCCCTGTTTTGCCCCTCCACCCAGCCCTGGCACGAGGGGCACCCAGGCAGAGATGTACTTATGTGCTAAACTGAACTTACCTTAAAAGCCCCGAGATAGAGAGCACATTTTACATTCATAATGCACTATTTTAGGCAAGGCAGAACCTATAAAATGCACACGCAGCACTTTAATTATGAGCACATGTGCCAGGTAAAACCTGCAATGCTAATGAGCAGCTGCTCGGCCCAAGTTCTGCGGGGCCCCTTGTGCTCTGCCTGGCAGGCTGAACCCCCCACCTCCACCACAGGCACTTGGCTGAAGCGCCTATCTCTAAAGGACACCCCAATTTTTAATAAAATCCCTATTTTGAGACCAGTCAAAAGGACTGTTTATATCTGTTTATATTTCTATCAATCAAATCACTGGAACTCAAAGACACTTTTTTTTTCCCCCAGAAACAATATTCACTTAAATTGATGTTCAGAAATGCCAAATCTGATGATAAACTATATACAGAAACATCTACATACTATTGCAGAAGCAAGGACACATTTAACATGCAAAAATCCTTCAAATCTACTTTTGATTGTATTCACACAGCAAAATTTTCCTTGTGCTACCTAAGTTGCATTTTTTTTTCAATATAGCTATTGTATCATTCTCTCTGATCTGGCTCTGTATCAGACAGACCATATGTATGATCACACAAAATCATGCCATACTTTTGTTTAAAAAGACTTAAGTGGAGTACTTAAGCCCAAAATTAACTTGTTGGCACATTAAGCATTTGCCACTGACTATCAGGAACTCCTGCTGCTAAGTGCTAATTTCTCTCTCATTAACGCTCAGAGTTGGCAAATCACAAACAATGCCACTGGTTAATTACTGCTGCCTTAATTTGAAAAGACATTTAACCTTTTTTTCCCTTCCTTTTTTTTTTTTTTTTTTTTTTTTTTTTTTTTTGTTTTTTTTTTTTTTTTTTGTGTGTAGGGGGATGAGGTGGGGAAATGTAAGCTAGAAGTAAAAACTATCCTTTTTAATTCAACTCCTTTCAAAGCTCGTATGTGACACTATGGAAAATTAAATTCAGCACTGTAAATTACAGAGCAGAGCTAAAAACTTATTTCTAGATTAATAACAACATTTAACAAATTGGTGACTAATCTTCCTTCCAGGGCTGGTGCTGACAACTTTGCCTTGCACTGCAGAATTGCCTAAAGTGACAGATACTACAGACTTATTATTGCTACGGAAAAGGGACTCAGCAGCTCTGAGCAGCAAAACCCAGCCCAAACAATTGGATAAAACAATTCTAAAACTATAATGATATCGCATGTAATATAGGTCAAGTTGTCCCTGTCTGGAGAAAGTTCAAGCTTAAGGCGAACAAAAAAGCACCAGGAAGTATGAGCTACGGATTTCACTCTTGCTCTGCATAAACTCCTAAAAACGCACTCATATTTTTAACTCCTGTCCCCTGACCTTAGTTCTTACCCTGAAAGCCTAGCTACAAAGAAGCAGGTCCAGAAGTTAAACAAAACTGTTTATCCATGCCAGAGGAACTCACTGCAGTTAGTGCTATATATTCTTTCTCTTTCTTTCTTTCTTTCTTTCTTTCTTTCTTTCTTTCTTTCTTTCTTTCTTTCTTTCTTTCTTTCTTTCTTTCTTTCTTTCTTTCTTTCTTTCT